AGTACAGGCTCATTTTCAAAAACAACACCAAAACAATTATAATCAGTTTATTTGATTTAGAATCAGGTAATATATTTTAACCTTACATTTTTGGATGAAGATCACATGGTTTAGCTCTGCAGAGTTACACAGGCAGTTGATGTTGTCATATTCATAATTTGTTTCTCAGTCTTTTTGTTATTGTGGTTCTTGGGGGAGGTACTTCCTGGTTGAGCAAAAGGAGTAGGCTTGTTTGAGACAAGCGAGACCTACGCAGACCTGCGCAATTTCGATCAACGTCTTGCTAGTGCGTTGCATGATGGTTAGTCATTTTGTCCGACTTGCTCTGGAGGCTCGCCTACATGAGACGTTGAAATCTCGTGGGACAAAGACGCCCGCAGCCTTGTGAGCGAGGCGCGGTGAGGCGGCGCAGTTCCTCTCCACGGGCTGCGGAAGCGAAATGCTTGATGGGAAACGACTCGCTGGTATCTCGAGCTGAGCGCTCATTGGTGGTTTTTACCACGTGCTNCACACACACACACACACACACACACACACACACACACAAGCGAGTTTCGGTTCCCAACCCTAAATTACATTACATGTCATTTGTTAGACACTTTTATCCAAAGCGACTTACATACATTCAGTATTGTGAACAATCCCCACAGGAGCAATTTGGGGTGAAGTGTCTTGCCCAGGGACACAACGACATGCTGACTGCAGTGAGACTCGAACTTGCTACCCCCTGAATCAAAGTCCAGCACACTATCCACTGAGCCACAGCCTCCCTAATAAGATGTGTTGCTGCTGGCCTACACCTATCTTGGCAAATCATTTTCTTCCAGCCGTCTAGGATGAAGATTCAGGAGTTGCTTCATGTAGTGTCTTTAACCTCAGTATGTAACTTCTTATCAAATCTAATATAACTCTGTTGTCTCTCTGTACCTGGTTTAGCAAGGGGATGAACCACCACAATGGATGCTGGTTGGACCATGTTCCCATGGATACGTTGCAGTTTTCTCCCAGTGCGCTTGTGTACGCTCCTCAGCTGCTGGTGCTCCCGATCGGATATCCACAACCTGTCCTCAAATACGGCAAGGTCAAAAGGTCGTCCTGCAGGAATCAGAATAGAGGGAAAGACAAAAGGTGAGAACTATTATATATATATTTTTTCGTATTATCTAAGGGAATACTGTGAAGGACGCTGGTTAAAGAGCAATTTCAAGATATTTTTATTATGTTTCAAGGAAATAGATGTTAAGTGGGGACATAACTGAATGAATTACGAGTGCAGATATATTTTTATCCCTTTTTTATATAGCCTCTTTCGTAAATTACAAGTTCAGTTTGTCAGGTTTAGCTTTACTTTTTCAGTCTCCGCTCTATTTTAGTCACCTTCACGGACTCATGACAGCGTCTACCGATCTACAGGTTGTAGTTCATCAACGTCAGATGTGGTTTTAGTTTGCACATATTGACAAGCAAACACATTGCTATTGTATGTGTTCTTCATTTTTAATAAACCCTTATTTTATTCATAAAGATTCAAAATGTCTTACAAGGCAAACTGGGCTAGACAGCAGCATAATATGCAGTATATGTGTGTGTATGTGTCACACAAGCCTCACCTACTTGGTTCTCTACCAGGACTTGTCGATCCGAACCGTCCAGAGCAGCCGTCTCCACCAGGCCCGTGCTCTGGTCGCACCAGAACAGACGATCCTCCGGGAAATCGATGGTCAGGCCGCTTGGTGACACAAGGTTAGTGCTAGCAATGACAGCACGGTGCTTCCCTTTCAAAGAGGAACTTTCCACGACAGGCACAGCCCCTATATCAGTCCAGAATAACTTCCTCAAAAATGAAAAAGAGAATTGAAGATTAGTCATAGCAGATGTATCTATCGCTCACAACATCTAGGTGCTATTGATTTAAGATGACATCCTTTTAAGGTTAGTTGCAGTTAGTTTGTAATTTAAATTCCTGAAACTATCATACACATACAGCCACACTCACTTTGCCAAAGGATGAACTGCAATTCCTCTTGGTTTTTCCAGCCCTTTGCTCACAATGGTTTCTCTGTTCAGTCCAACCAAGTTACTGCAGTCAATAGTTGACTGGCTGGGGGACAACAACATACAGAAGTGTTTTAGTAAAACTAAAATAATCTGATAACATTTAGCCTCATACCTATTTAAACATACTACACAAAAACAGCTGTTTAAGGAAATCTCAGTGTAAATATTACATACAAATATATATTTTATTTGATCTTAAATAAAAAGATTAACTAAATACAATATGACCTAAGTATCAAAAGCTCAATGAGGTGTTGTCTTACATAAAATACATTCAAAAGCGAATATCTGATGTATAAATCGTCATCACCAGAAGGTAAGGAACATATTTCATGAGCACATGTTCTCTGCAACACCACACACCTTGTGTCGGTCCAGTACATCCTGCGGTGGATCCAGTCTATCGCCAGTCCTTCTGGAAAGTCCAAACCATCAGAGACAAGAATGTCTCTCGATCCACTGTTCAAATTAACACTCTCAATTGTCTTCTGGCTCGTACTAGCAAAGTACACCTTGAAATGCATACAAAAATATATAAAGAAATAGTCATTATAGGAAATATGTGGGCAGTAAAAAGTATGTTCTGTAGGCAACTATCAAAACAAGTAGAAATATCGCTTTTTTATTTAACATGGGTGAACCCTATTGGAAATCAAATCACATTCTCTGTCCACTAGGTGTCACTAGATGTCTGCAACAAAGTCTGAATCTGGTCTCCCTACATTCTGTCAATCCTATATGATTGTATATTAAGACCTTTTCTACTAAGGAGTTTTCATCTTACATTTTGCTGGACCGGGTCATAGTCCAAAGCTACGATTGCTCCTCTGGGCTCTTCCACAACTGTTTGATCACCAGAGCCATCAGGGTCAATTTGCCGTACGTTGTCAAAATTAGCAACTAGTAGATATGGTGGTGGACCTGAAGGATTAAAAAAAAAAAAGTAGTTAGTGGATATTTACTAAATATGTCATTTCCACCTCAGCTTATTTTGTACTTAATGTAAAATACAATGTGTTCATGAAAGATTCACGGTAGAACACACCCTGTAGGATTACACAGTGTTTATCTGAGTGGGTTTATCCGCCTCAGCCGGCTGCTCTGCCGTAGTATGACTCACCTGTGGCGATGCAGCGTTTGCCGTCTTGGTGGAGCTGGTATCCCGGCAGACATCCACACTGCCACCTAGCAGGAGTGACAGGAGTGCAGAGCTGACTGCACCCCCCTCTGTCTGCAGACAAGCAGCCTGCAACGCCGACAAACGGTGTTACACATCCTCGCACAGATAAGCTTTGTGTTCCTCACATAGAGGCTCCATTTTATTTGACCATGACTCATACAGCATATTGATTTAATCCTACGTCACATATCTTGTCATATTACTGTGAACACACCAACATTTGTATGTGGTGTAGGAATGTGTTTTTCCCTAATTGTACCTGCTTCTTTCAGTTAGGCTTAATACAGTAGACACTAGGGAGCTGTCCCCTGTAACATATTAGTAAATATTGGCTGGCAATTTAAAACATTGAATAAAACCTGACTCTTCATAAATGATGTCTTATTCTAAATTGATTCAATCATTTTCAATATCATCTGTTGAAAAGTAATGCAAAGTGTCCTGGTTACTGTGCTGCCGTGCCTGACGTTTGATCCATCTGACCTCATTATGACTGCTTTGATGATCCAACTCAAAGATTTGTATCTAACAATCGCTATAAATACCATAGTTTAGAGCTTATATACTGGTTTACATTTGTGAAAACGTAAACACTAAATTACACATAATTCCCTTTCAAATAAGATAAAGATGGATATAATGGGAACGGGTCATTACATAGAGTTGTGAAGGTTATATTTTTTGTTGCAGATTAAACTGTGATCCATACCAGTACATGTTTGTCCATCGTCCTGCAGGGACGATCCCTCTGGACACACACACACATCCCCCTCGTCTGTTGTCAGGCATCCAGGGCCACACGTGATATTCCCTCTGCATGGGATGATCTCTGATTGTGGAAACCAGATCTCTTCAAACACATTTACTTATATCAAAACAAAAATCTGGCTATGTCCGCTAAGTCAAAGTTAGTACAAATAATGTCATAAAATATCACCATTCATTTAGGGTTGTATTAAACAGATCAAAGAAATGCTTTCAAACATTTCCAGGTTATTTTGGGGCTCAGCAGGGAGAAGAGATAACCCAAATGAACTAAGAAGAAGATATAGAAATATGTGTCTATCATTATTTTATCATTTGTATACCCAATGGAGATCTTAAGGCCTATTTGCTCATAATGTATTCTGTCACTAAGTAAATGATAACAAATGAGACCAAAGTTCCCAGGCTTTGTAATCGGTGTATAATCTCTGTTGTCGCCTCCATTGTCTAGCCTGCCATTTGGCTGCATGTTTGTTATTTCCTAGACCTTGGTTAAGGATGTTTGTGAGACTGCTTTGACATTAAAGCTGCTTACCAGGTACTGTATGTCACATCATCATCTAATCTCTTTGTGAACCTTCCCTTCCTTGTACTCGTGGCTTCATAGCTGCTCTAAAAAGAGATTAAGACGTTGCCATAATGTGTTAACAAGGTTGTAAAGTTAATCTCTGAGTAAACAATACCGTATCGGGGATAAAAACAGAACGACTATAAGTGATTGCAATGCATATATCTGTGCCAAACCATTAGATTTCATGAGGAATCTGTTCAAACAGATAGGTCTCCAAATAAGGAACTTTTGAGTATACTACTTTTTACCAGAAAATTGGCTGTTTGGTTTTAAATGAGCAAAGCAAACATATTTATTGGTATAATCCTAGAAAACAATTATCTACTATCTTTATAATATCTCTGCTTCCATCCACCTGAAACAGCCCCTCGATCTCAGCACAACTCGACCTCTAGAGACAAAAAGTGTCAGTGCTTGGACCGAAGTAACACACAATTGGCAGCTCACATATATGTCTCGTCTCACATGACCCGGCCTTTTTATTGGCTCTGCAGGGTCAAAGGAGTGTCTGGGGGACAAATGCCACCTTTCACACGACCACAAAAAGAAGAGGGTCTAATGTGAACCAGAGCTGCTTTCATTATGCTGACCAAAACAAAGAGCAAGTGTCACAACATTATAAATAAAACGTGGTGTTATTCCACTCAGGGATTCTGCAAAACCGGCACCAGCAACTCGGTTAATTGTTTTTCTTCATCGTACTACAAAGTCCTTTGCACTGAACTTGGTAAAGCTTCACATTAAGGACAAAAATGTCACATTGTATTATTGAATACTACAATAAAACATATGTTTCCACTGTACCTCCACATGTCTTCCTGTCCGGTAGGAGAGCGTATCCTTTAGGGCAGCTACAGAAATAGGAGCCTGGGATGTTTTCACAACCAAGAGAGCAGCCGTGGTTCCAATGGGCACATTCATTCACGTCTATGGCACACACAAACGAACAATGAATGATTGCTGTGACCTGCCTTAATATCTAAACTTCCTGGATCATTTGGTTTCATGGCATGGATACCAACCTTCACAACGACTGCCTTGCTTATTTAGAGCAAAGCCTTCACTGCACTGGCAGATCCCTTTCTCGGCTATACTGGAACAAACATTCATGCAATTTCCACTCTGTTCGTCACAACCTGTTTGAAAGAATGAACAGCAATAGATTACTCAAACATGGTCATTTCAGACGGATTTACTTAAGATATAAGTTATTTAATGCAACATGCTATTGAGTAATTTCAGTGTCAGTTGAGCATTAACCTGGGAATGATGATTGGTAGTCTGTCATTGGCTGGTTGAGGGGGTGTACCACCTTGATAGCACCTGGGGGTTTTGCGGTTTGTTTTAAGTTCAGTGGTGCTCCGCCAGTGTATTTGTTTACTTGTTTTATAAGCCGAGTAGCAGCATCAGTGTAGTACAAGTGCTCCAGAAAAACTGATATCCCCATTGACTGAGACCTGAACAGAAGAGAGTGTTTGTATCCAAGTTTGCCAACAAAAATAAAGTGATAAATAGACAATGGAAATAAAATTTGCTCACCTAAGAGGCTGATCTATGATGTGCAGAACGTTCCCGTCGTAATCACAAGAAGCAATGGCACGTTCTCCTTGTAGACCAAACTGAACCCAGAACAGTCTTTTTTCCTTTCGGTCAATGGACAGTGCTTCTAGTTTTTCTGCTATCTTTATAAGTGTAGTTTTCATCTTTCCTGTCACATCACACCGCTGGATACTCGGAGTCATCCCACCAGAGAGCCAAAAAAGAAACCTGCAAAATATAAGATTCAAACCGAGGAAGCACACTTTTTTTTTTACAAATGAATACTAATAGAAATGCACCCAAATCAGTTGCTGTTATAATATTTTTTTTGCTTTTTTGATCTAATATCATTTAATAAATTGTAAGAATGTAATACCTGTTAGTAGGTTCAACGTTTATGTTACTTGGTTTGGTCAAGTGTCTTAAAAGAGTCCTTTCATTTTTCCCGTTTATATCCATTGCCTTGATTTTTCCCTTGTCTTCACTTGTCCAATATACTCTGTTCCAAATCCAGTCAACTGCGAGGCCGGAGATATGTTTGTCAGATGAAAGTTTCTGAAAAACAAATGTTATAACAAGTTCAACGCAAGACCAAAACATAATTGTACAATCTTAAGAAAAATGACACTTAAGATTTCATTAAATGTCATTGAATTTAAATACATTTCATGCAAGGGACTGGAATCTATATGTGCCAGCTGTTGTGCAAATGAGTAGTAATAGTTACATATTCACCTGTCTGTGTGCTCCACCCGCTGATGCTTTGTAAATGACCCCACTGTGTTTGTCAGCCCAGTAAACTCTCTCCTCTCTATAATGAAAGTCGAGCAGGATCGGTCTTCCCACCCCAGCCAGAATCCTCCTCTGGTTCTTCCCATCGACGTCCATCCGATGAATAGCTTTCCCATGGCCGAATATCAGGAAAGGCTGTGAGGCTTTAAGAAAACAAACGTGACATGTGTTTCATAAATTGTAAAAATTCCATTCGTTTTAGGGTCTTGAAACAGCGAATGAAAAATTATGTATGGCTTTTTTTTCACTAGCCAAAACCTTGTAATTTCTGCATGCTTATTGATTCATGCTAGGATTATACCTAAAATACCATGCTACAATTGACCCTCATATCAGGTTTAGATTTATCAGGATTTGTCCAGATTTCACATGAACTCAAATTGACTAACTGTCCAAAACTCAACATGTATTCAGTTTACTGTCCTATAACAAAGAAAAGCAGCAACTCCTTTCAGTTTAGAAGAGGACATTGAGAATAAAGAATGCTTGGCCTATTTGCTTTAAAATAACTGATAATATTAAACTGCTTGGAAGAGGTAGCTGTAGTAAAATAACCCTTTTTTTAACCCCACATTCACAACACCGTGTTTTTACATATGAGTAGGTGCAGGTTATTGCTTGTGAAATATTCAGTCCTCTTTACTCAGTTTAATTAAATTATCCCAGGGACAGGAAGGTAACCCCGGCAGAATTTAACATCTCAATAGCGTCTTTTTGCCTCTTTGTGTCACTCTGCAGTTGCAGAGACATTTGTCAAATGAGTTCAAGGCGGGCTCAACCGCTTCTGGATACAACATGATCCCTTAGCAACAAATCACTCCTGCACTATTTTTTCACTCTGACAATACTCTGCATGAAATTAAAAAAAATAAAAGTAGAATTTAGTACACCACATTTATACAATAAACTTCTAAATAAGCAGCAATGAAATGGCAACCATTCCACATTTACAAATTGACGTCCTTCACAAATGGTATGTTGTTGGAAACGATTAGTTAGATTTCATAATACTTTGATGTAGTTTGCTTCATCACTTAACTTGGTCATGATAAACAAACAAACACAATCTCTGTTAGCTGTCTGGTTGATTAGAGATAGAAGGTGGGCTTATCAATCTTGGTAATAACCCTGCCATGTGCAACCATGGATACTGCTCTTAACTCTGTGGAATGAAGAAAACAATGAGAAACACCAGACAAATAATATAAAGAAATGCCTGGAGTGAGATCTCTAAGATGGCTGCTGTTGCTGAGTTGCTAGGAGGCGTCCTGATGAATCATTGACAAGTTCACATGGTGGTCAGCATGATTCTTGACCTTGTGAGCTCAGTCAAAATGTTCAATTGTTCAATACAGATGAGTCTGAAGAGTCATAGCCATAGATAAAATTGCTCCCAATGCACAGCTAGAACCAAAATAGAGATTAATTTCCCATTTTACATTGTGGTAACATTATTTAGGGCTGTTTGAGTGGCTATTTAAGATGTTAAAACAGTTCCTTGGGTTTGCCAATGATCAAAATGCAACTGCTTGATTATTTCAGCTGTGGATACATTTTCAAACCCGTAAAGGTATATTGACAGAAACGGGATTGGCAATAGGACAATGTTTTGGCATTTATACCAACATATAGGTTTACCAATTTGTCCAAGTGTGTCCAAGTAATTTACCTTTTTCATAAGGCTTCAGGTCTTGCTTTGCTGAAGTGGAGAGTAAACTAAAACCCTCCAAAGGAAGATGTTATGTAGCTGACCATGACCTTTGACCTCGTAAGACACTGAAAGCTAACGGGAACTTTTCAAAGGGGATTGGAAAGTTTCACATTGTTACAATTCAGTTTTAAACATTTTAATTTATGTTTTGCTGGGATAAAGCTAAACTCTGCCAATATGGCATGACAGCAGTCATTCCAAATGTTTTGGACACCAGCGATCAGCATCTGAAAGCTTTATCTGATGTCCTTGTGGCATCCCACAAAAAACTTGGGCTCAGTTTGAGATACACCCACTCGAGCACAGAGCAGTTAACTGCACCTCTGCTACAGTGCATGTCTGCCAAGTTCACTTTCCCACTGACTGTTGCTCTGCTTTTATTTTAGGTTGGAAGTGGGTGAGCAACCTTTTAATCTTTGGAATTTCACTTGATTGCAGCTTTTTTTCAATACTGACCACAAGCCCATGACTGAATAGTAGTTATAGCACTTGTTGTTTTCGTACTTTGCTTTTATGTCTATTATGTTGTATAACTACATGAACATAAAAGCTACAATTTGTGCATACTGTATGGGGGTTTCTACCAACCGAGCAAATCCTATATATATTTTTTCACTAAATCAAGATTGTATGTTGAAATAAAAATGTAGATATCCCTACATAAAGTTTGAACTCTACTTATTCACTATTGCAATTGTTACAGAAGACTGATAACATAAAAAATGTAACCATGAACAAACACTGTTTTGCTTTAGGATTGTACATCAACAATATTAATCACTTCCTGGGCAGTGTGGTGCTTTGCATGTGTTTACCATGTACAGTATTAAGCGTCATCACTTTTAACCAGTGTGCCTTGTGGAAGTAGTTCCATGGCCAACCTGCCCTGTAATGTAATCTTGCAAACCTTTGAAATGGTATCAGAAGTACTAACTAAACCCAGGAGATACTGTTTTTGATTGTTATGATTTTCCTCGTAACTTTTCTTTCTTTGCTAAGTCAGTGCTTGACAGACATGGTCTAAGATCAAAATAACCTCTTATACAGCCGAGTATTCAGTGGTTTCAATGGTTTTAACATCTCCTTTATTAATACCATGATAAGGGAGCATCAGTCTAGACAGGAGTGGTGTCAACCAAACTCACCCACACAGCTGTTGTTTCTTCCTGATCGCGAAAGCCGTTCGTCCCAACATGCTGTACCAAGGGCCAAGGCTCCAGAGCGTTGAATAAAAAAATAGATTAGCGCTGCTGTGATCGTTGCAGCCAACATAATCCTGCACTCGGTCCCTGCCTTGGTAGCTGCACTCGTTCACTTTTTCTCAGGCATTTCCACTATTAGCAGTGGCACACAAGAATTCCCCAAAGATAAGCAACATTTGTTTATGGACTGTTGGCATCCTTGTCCAAGTCTTCAACCTAAAGAGTCGGTGTATCTTTACATACCAAAATACGTCGCGCTAAAACCAAGTAAAACTCCACTGAAACGTTGGAGTACTCCGAATGAAGAGGCTGTGGGATCCTGCTCACTCCCCGCTTCGGCCCCAAAGCTGCCAGTCTGTTTTGGAAGCAAAGATTGAAATTCCTGACACCCCCGTGGTACATTTTGCACATGCTAGTCCACCATTGGAGCAAGATCTTCTTTAGGCTGCACTCAGTGTCTCAAGCAGAATGTGGAATATTCAAGAAATGAGGCAGGGCTGAAGAAAGGTCCCACTTAATAAAAACATCTATCCTTCACCCCACCCCCTGACCCATGATTGATGCGTCCGTCTGGAACGACTGAGTTTTTGTGTCTAGAAGACAAACGGAAACAACATGGCATATTAGGCTGAACACATATGTTTGTTGGGGAAAAAAATGTGCCCATCTTTTTTCAAACAATACCAGCATTCATATATGAACATTCACTTACAACATGATTGTTTTTTACTCATGCCACATGCAGTTTAACAGACAAAAACGCCAAGGCCATGTCTCTATTGCCTCCTGTTTAAGTTCCTCTGGCTCTCAGGGCGAATCGGTAGAATGAGTAATTTATAGACAATGAAGGAGACAAGTAAATAATCATCACATAGTTTGTCCTCATTTTACCCAGGAGAACAACTAACAGACTGCAGGAACCAAAACCTCTATTCATACTCTCCATGAGTAGGATATTGTCTGCAAAATTGTCACCAGTAAGCTTATAGAGGGGCAGGAGACAATTTACATGGCTGAGAAAGTTGCCTTGTCTCCAGCCTAATGTGAGCAGTCTGAAGGGCAGTGACCTTTTCCCACGATTTCAGCCCCTGGCAGATAACAATGCACATGTTAATGTCTATCATTTCCCATCATGTGAGCACTGTGCTGAATACCAATCACACATGGGTTTGACCCTTTAGGTACCAATCGTTACTAGGAAACAGCGATTTCTAAGTGTTGCTGCCGTATTAAATGCCATCTAGAGTCTGTGCTTTTGTACATTAAATAGTTCCACTCCTTGTTGCATATGGAAAAGCCCAAGCATTTTAGAATATTAACTCTTGACTTAAATAATGTCATGATGCCAAATCATCACTCAATATTTACTCATGTCTAAAATCTGTCGTCTGTATTTAAAAAAACATTATTTTACTATATTGTGGTCCAAATCTGTTTATTCGGTTTTTCAGCTCACATGTCAGACCAGACCATTTGTTTTATGATTTCAGTAAATACTAACTATTTATAAAACTAATGTTTGATTCAACAAAGCAAATCTTTGAAAATTAGATCTTTGGGACATTGTTATGTTACAAAATGGTTCAACAACCACTGCAATCTTTGAGCAATGAGCTTTTTCTAGCCTTGCTGTTACATATTCGGTCAATACTTACATGTGGCCAATTTTCTACTGGACTGATGTAATGGCGCCAAGTCATGGTTGCCAGGAGATTTGTGGTGTGACTGAAAAGCCCCTTGAGAAGTGAAGTATATCACTTCAAGTGGCCCTATCTGGATTTTTGCTATTACAGGATGGACCACAGCCTGGTAGCAATAATTAAAGAGGAAATGGATCGTATCTGTTTATATCAGTCTGTACATTGATGTGTTGTTCTCTCTTTTTTCACACTCACCATCCTGCCAGCCCTTGTTTCTCTGAAAAGTATCCATCTTTCCATCTATCTACTAATCCATCCTATCTTTTCAACGTTATTCCTCCACTAACAGCCCCGCCCTTGTCTACAAGCTGTTCATCTGAATGTTTGCATAATAACACCACAGCTGGTATTAGATATTACTTAGTAACAAAGGGTTATACTGTACAGCTGGTTGCACAGAGGTATCCATGGGAACAGTTTCCCAGGTCCACACATCATCTGAGCAGGATTTATGTCAGTACGGTTCAGATGTTAAGAGAGCGTGACAACTGTGACCCATTGATTTTCAGGATGAAC